ATACAGATGTTAAAGCTACACTGTGTGATTTTTCCCCCCATCTAGTGGTGAAAAGGTATATGATCATCCAGGGAATATTAGTTTCTGTTCCTCTCAATTCCGATTTCGTTTTAACTCCTACGGTGGCCAATGTAGTCCAAGGTTAACATGGCTTCCAGTTCAACCTCATCCATGAGTGAGCGTTAACTCAAACGTAAATGCGAAAGGTGAAGCTTGAATTAACGGGTATGTCTCTCTTTGGCTAATGTACTTTCAAGATGGAGGGGCAACATGGCGACCGACATTAGAACCCCTTACCCGTATGTATTTTCAATGGCATATTATACAATCACAAGAATACTTTATTAAATATATATTAAATATACAGTAAATATACATTAATGAGCACATATATTTTTGAAAGAACTAAGTGTTTTTAGCTAAGAATAAACTAAAAGAGTTACACAGTGTAGCTTTAAAAGTAATCAGCAAAACAGGCAAACTTTCACAGTGTCTTTATGTTCATTATAACACTATTGCAAACTATTCTTACTCAAACTGTTTTATAAATAAAGACTGAAAGCTTTGTCAAAAGCTTTTGATGATGCTGAAGTCATGCATTTGTGCAGTTTTATTGTATTTAAGCTTCAAAATTAATTTGAATTCACATGTTTGTTTATTTGTAAAGATTATCATGATGATTTAAATAGATTAAAGCCTATTTGAGCAAATTCTATGGGGTTTTTTGTCATGGGAACCAGGTTGATGCTAACTTCCAGGGTGGCCTACAAAAATACATCATCAACAAAACTTGAAATGGCTCAGCGATTTACTGCAGAGCAAGTGCTGAACGCTCACATTAAGAATATGTATGAGATGGCGAAAATGAACCAAATGCTGAAAGTACTGGGACATGAGCTCTGACGAGGACAGTCATGATGGTATAAATCTGCTTAAACTGAACCCTCCCAAGCTCTATAAGGTAACAAAATATGATTTATTTTCATTTTCATAAGCTACTTTATGTAGCCTACCAATAGAATTAGTGCATCCTGTGGCATGAAAGCCTACCAACAATAAAGTGATCTCCAACTAATAAAATCACCGTCAATGTGAATGCGGTTTTACAGCTAATGGTTTTTGAGCCATTATCATGCATCCACATAAAAAAGGGAGTGAAATCCGTAGTGTCTCGCAGGAATCAGATCAGAGGAGCAGTGGGCAGTCGACATGTACGATCACAGTGAAAAATATAAAAGAACAGAACATGCCATTGTTTCAAGGCCTAACCGGGTTGCCTGAGGACAGCATGGGCCAGACTACTGTTGTCGAGGTAACAGTGGGCAATGGCAACTGCCTGGGCGTGGAAATGGTGATGCCCTCCAAAATGAACATATTGTGAAAAAATTATCTTGTTTTTCTAGTCTGCATAATTAATGACTGCAAGACCAAGCAAAATACTCTGCCAAGTGCCAACTGTTTACATCGGCTATATCATGCGGCACTAGTAGTCATTTTAATTTGGCTAGCGCCCAGTTACCTGCTAACAGATAACAAATAATTTATGACTACTGTTTTGTCTTGTCTGATTAATATACATGAATGATATTCCAAATAAAATCATGATCCCAAAACCCTTCTTTACTCATTCTATACTATTCCTCTCTTCTTTTTCTTCCTAACTTTTAAAATGACCACAGTCTGTCATACCCCGCTTTACTCTGTCTGCTTTTTATCCTTGCTCATCTTTGATTTATCTGTCAAGTCCATTTTCAGAATTGCAATTATCTGCTCAATAAATCCACAGTCACTGAAATTATAATTGGAAGCTTGACAAACATAAACTGTGGACTGAAATGGACCAAAATACAAAGAGCATTCCCTGTTGGGAATACAGACACCTGGAGATAAACAAGGTGCACTACAGTTACAGATCAGCCATCAAACCCTGATCCCTCTTAAAGAGATAGTTCACCCAAAACACAAATGACTTGTTTGACTAAAGGCCATTGCACACTGAGTCCGAAATTGTTTCGTATTCGTGATTCGGTGGCTCTGAATTGTCAAAACACCATTCATACACCATTCAAACTACTTGTTACGGATGCGAAAAACACAGAAAATCGAACCCAATCCGATTTTTTTTATGATAAACTAAATTTGCGAAGGGAGTGTGCGAACGTGCTTGACATACGGTGAGGTCGTATTTATTTTTTAACGTGCGAAAGTTTCAGATACAAATTTCGGACTCAGTGTGCAAGGGCTGCATTTAGGCTACATTACATAGTTCAAGTGACCCAAATCCTATGTGGAACAGATTGGAACAAACGTGTAAGAAGGAAAACAAAAAAAACGGATGAATTCCGATATTCTCAGGTTTCCAGCCTCATTCATATGTGGAAATAAACCTGATAAGTATCAGGTACGTGCATTTGCATCAGCCATGTAAGCAGACAGACTGGATATTCCCCTTTCAATGAGAGTTGTACATCATTGAAAACGCGACGGTGGACAAGGTGGACATCAACCGCGATCACATGACTCTTTTCAATGGCACAATGGAGTCATGCTAAGGTTTTATGTCATTTGAGCCTTTGGGGCGAAGAGACAGTGACCTTTAAAGATGACGTGGAAAGCAAAAGCTTATTTTATCATGTTGTCTGGGTCCATTACAAATCACACAGTTTTCACTTCCTTTTCAGCCTTTTCCGGGTCAGTACGTCTAGGGTTGTTTCGCCAAGTGTATCACTTTTAAAAGATACAAGCTGGTCGTCAAAAAACAAAATCGGTTATAGTCAACAAATAAGAATAGAGACCGCAAATGCGGCTTTTATGAACCAATACTTGAGACTTGTATTGGACTTGAACTGCATGACAACACACAGGGCAGCACGTAGATAGCAGCCCTGCATCAGTGATCCAGACAGCAGGAGAGAGATTGCAGCTCAGCAGTGGGCTGGTTCATATACCACAGTTTTAGAAAAGTACAAGTTAAAAACCTCCCTCTGGTCTCCTGAAGTGCCCAGATATACTGAACCATGAATATTTATACCACTCAAAATAAAGTGAGCAAGCAAGATACAAGAAAATCATATTTTTCTTGCTGTATTTCAGTGGGGGGAAAAAGTGCATTTTATTCACTAACCAATTGCAATCCGGTTTATGCAGACATTAAATGTGCTGAAATAGCACAAATATGGCATGTCATTTAGGCTCATTATAGCTTGCACCTTTTTCACAAAACTCAGCACTATGTGCCGGGTTAAAATCGAGCTTTACCAACAACAGAAACCACCCATACCTGCTAGTATTACATTGTATATAATGACCAGAGGTAAAAAAAAAAAAAAGTGAGACATTGACAGAAATCATTCGTATATGCTGCTTAGGTCATTATTATCAATGCTCATTATTATCAATGTTTAAAACAGTTGTGCTGCTTAATATTTCTGTGGAAACCATGATATTGTTAAAGTAACAATATTGTATTGTATTAGAATTGTTTTTCCTACTGACTACAACATTTTGAATGGTGCTATATTACAATCAAGAGTGTTTGAATTATTTTTTTTTCCTTTATAAATGTTTGAACAATGATTTTAGACATTTAGATAATGGCCTAAAATCATATGGGGAAAAAATATAACTTTTTTGTTTTCAAGTTTACCTGTATTAGAAATCATTGCTGGTCTGCAAAACTGTCTGAATCAACTCTGTGATTCTGTAAAGCCTGGGACACACCAAGCCAGCTTTAAATAACTTCTGCGCTTTTGTGTAAGTATTTAACTGTCTGTATCAGCAGTTATCAATAGTGTATTAGTCAATTTGTAATTCAAAAGGAGAAACCGAAACAAGGATATACGAGATATTTATATATGAATTACGAAACGTAAATAAATCAGTGCTATTACCATTTTGAATATCAGTTATGTTGATAACTTTTAATCATTTTAAGCCCCTCATGTTTTTTATGGATACATTTGCGTTTTGGAATTCTCATGTAGAATTACATAACATTAGATTAGCCTTTTGTCTGTGCCCTCTTGACTCACTTTCATATTAATTCTCGTGCACTGTCTCTTTCGCTAAACTGAACATCCAATCAGAACTCAACATGCTGAATCGGGCAAACCCGATGTGTGGAACACACCGCAAACTAGCCCGGCGGCCGACCATCGGCTTAGTGTGTCCCAGCCTTAATAATAGTAAATGTCAGACTTTACTGTCAGCAAAAACCCTATTCCGACAGGAAATAGATAATTTTGAGTTTATAGAACAACTTCATTGCATCCTGTCACACAACCTGGCTAAAAATTACAAACCAAATTACCAAATTTCAGCTAACTCATGGGTCCTCTGAGAAATCTAATCCTGTCTGGGTAGAATGTCTGTAAATTCAGAATATTTTTCACAACGTCTCCCCTCATTTATTTTGACCTTTGTCAAAAACCGTAAATAAGCCAAATTTTCTTGTTGTGCTACCTGGTGCACCTTCATTATGGATTTAGACCTTTTTCAAACACTCTAGATAGAATAACAGTTCAATTACTGCTGGCATTTAATCTAGTGTAAAACGAATTAATTCCTTCCCTTAATATATAAAAATGTTGTAATTACAACACATATATCATTTACATAAACTGTTTACTTTAATAGGATTCAGGATGACCTTCAATAACACTCCACATTCCAGACAGACACTCTTATTAACTTATTAACAGGCATCACAATCAACATGAAATTACAGACGTCCTCTGTCAATAATTGTAACTCAAACGTCATTTGGAAAAGGAATGCTGTTTAAATAGTCCAATATCTGAAAAAACTAAATTTTCTTAGGAGTGCAGGATCGGCCAGAGGGCAATGTTTACATAAACGCAGAGGGGGACCAGACTAGAACACTTTGTAACAGGCACTTTTGCAAAGAAATAAAGCTATCTCTTACTTTCCTGAAGACATAGAACACACACACATCCATTTGAAACTGTTTCTGCCTCTCCAGCAGTGGGTTGTGGACTTACCCTGTCAGAACGACCACAAAGTCCATTACGTTCCAGCCGTTGCGTAGGTAAGAGTCTTTGTGAAACACAAAGCCCAGGGCGATGATCTTAATGCCGGCCTCGAAACAGAATATTCCGATAAAGTAGGGCTCTGTGTCGTCCTGTAGGAAGAGAGCAAAAAGAAGGACAACTTGTTTTTTGTGTGCCTGAAAGAAGAGGGTCTATTGATGCATGGAGAAAGCAGAATAGAGAATATAGGTTGAAGCTTTTCACTTTTTGTGCATGACACAGGGTCAAGATGCATGGATTGGCACTGTGATGGGGAAGGTGAAGATGTGACAAAGTCTAAATCCAAGTGTTTTACATGGTTATTATTGTTAACTACAACTATTACAAAAAATATTTCAGTTAATTGAAATAAAGATAAAATAAATTATAAATATTAGTAATTAGTAAATAAAAATATTAGAAAAAATAATAAACTAAATAAGTTTACAGTAAGATTTAATTGGAAATAAACAAAAAATACAAAATAAAACTGAACTAAAAAAAATAAATAAAAATTAAGCCCAAATAGCATTTAAAAACAAAATGACTAAATATAAAAATAAAATTAAAATAATAAAAACTAAAATAATAAAATAAAGGGTAAATTAAACAATATTAAAATTAAAATAAAAAGTAAAAAAGCACTGGCGCATTAAATAAAAATTATTAAAAATATTTTAAAACATTACAATTCAATACAATTAAATATTTATATAATACATTTAATTTTAAAACATTTCATATGCTATTAGTACCACTGAAACCAGAACATTCTATCTTACAAAAAAAGGGTCTAAAAATTCTGAAACCTAATAAAACTGGAGGAAATATACCGAATATAAGTTAAGGAAACTGTTACTTAAAGAGATTCAGTCCTGGCTACAGCATGTCGCATTGCTTTTGAACTCATTCCCATTAATGTCACCAGAGCCCTAAGGCTCTACAGGCACTTACACCGAACTAACCTCTCCAGAGCTCTGCTCTCAGAAATCCCTCCCACTTTATGAGAGCAATTATCAACCCTGCTCGCAAATAAGTCTTCTTATGGTGCTCTTTTTGATGGGAACCTTATCCAAGCAATATAATTCTTTAAGATAGTCTTCAATAACAACAGCATGATGCCATTTTGTGATGATACTTTGGTACAGCGAGGAAAACGCTGCACTGTTAAATCTTTCTACTCTCTGTAAAAATGAATGTGCCTTTGGCAATGCATTATATAACATTCCATTAGCAAACACAAAAATAATTAAACAAACAAAAAATAATTTCATTTTGAATAGTCCCTAAAGGTGCCCAAAGCTAAATCACACTCATTGGTGTATATTTTCTCAATAATAGTCTAATTATCTTTGCGGCGCTAGACAGCACCTGTCTTGTTGTCTCCGTGAAATCACTTGGCAAAAATGTGTTTGCAGGAGCAGATGTGAGGCTGTGCATAACGGATGATTTATGGAAGCGGAGACATGAGTGAGCGTTGCAGCAGACAGCATATTTCAATCTATTATGTATAGATCCAAAGAGTTTATTAATAATGAACATCCTGTCTGCAGTGTTTGGGTATCAGGGGGCCAGTTTATCTCTGCAACAGGTAAGGAATTGGTTGCGTTGCAGTGTTAACCAAACAAGATGTTGATGAATTTGACAGGTTGAGGTTGAACCCTCACTACAGGGGACCAATGAAGAATGAAATAACTCTTCTCTATCTTTGAAACACAGGTCCTTAAAGGTAAAGAACGCTAAAATAACAATTGAGTCATTTTTATTCACCCTGGTGTTGTTTTAAAGTAGTATGCCCTCTTTTCTTTTTCAGACCACAAATAGAGAACTATAAAAGGAGAACTAAGGAGTCCCTCTCACGCTTTTAAATAACGAGAGCAAAATTATCACAGAATGGTCCCATCCAACATGTGTCACATATTCCAAGTGTTCTGGGGTCAGGATTTTTGTTAAATAATACATTCAGTTTCAATTTGTTTTTTTATGAAACCCTATATACCCCCAGAACACTTGGAATATATGAAACGTGTCGCATAGGACCGTTATGTGTGTCACGGCTGGTTGAAATACAGGAAGAAAAAGGTGAGATGGATCTATTCACAGGTCAACAAAACTCAAAAAGGTAACTTTGCATGTACTGCTATCACTTAGGGTGTACTGACCTTTGTTGCCAGCTATTTTGACAATAATGGCTGTATGTTCAGTTATTTTCAGGGAACAGTAAATATATACTGCTATACAAGCAGCTCACTGACTACTCTAAAATATATCCAGGTTTAATTTCTATAGTATTGCCCCTTGAGAAGATATACTAAAATGTTTGCTAAAATGTAAGGGGTGCAAGATACTGTATATATAGTATATGCAGTATATTAGAAATTAATAAACAAGAAATGTACACTTTCATTCTAATCATCAAAGTGTTCTAAAAAATTTTGAAGGAATTTTTCAGCAAAAAAGAAGAGTATCCTTCATTATATGAAAAAAGAGTAAAGTAGAGTAAACAACATGCATTTTGTGATCCACTAAAGAATCATTTGGATTTGGAACAATATGAAGGTTTTTGAAAATCAAGATTTTGAATTGAAGATTTTTGAAAATCAAGTTGTAATGTTGTTGACATGTTTATGTGGTATTTTTAATATGCTTTAAGACAAACCATGTGCAAATTCATCAGTCAACACCATTGCTGAGTATTTTCTCCTTAAAACTGCACTGAACCAAAGACAGCATTGAAAATGCAGTTTGAAATCGCCCGTGTTTCCTACCATCACAAAAATGCAACCAATCCTGTCAACGTACAAGGCTTTTCACCACTTTCTATGATGTTCAAAGCGGTTCAAAGGATGCTGATTTTGAGAAGGCAGCTGTCTGACTCTGAGATGGTGAATGGGAATGTTTGTATAACATTAGCATCACATTATTAGCTGTTTAATAACGTAATCCAGCCAAAGACTAATCATATCAATTACCGTTATGTGTCTGACATAAAGAAATTCCGATACAGCAACTTGTGACAACCCTGTATAATTTGCTCTACCCCTTTCTTGCTCTGAATCAGTTTCTGGATCAAACACATACATTAAAACTATATTCCACTTACTAATAACATTTAGTTGACAGAATGGATCAGGAAATCTGAGCTGGTGTGATTGAGCGGAGGTGGAAACCAATTATGGCTCCGTGTGGTGTAGAGTTACATTCAAGCATGAAGAAATTATTTTCACAGGAAAGAACTTTTAAATACGTCGTATTTTGTATTTTCTAGCATCAGGGGGCTGTATTCGAGAGGATCCCATTGACCTTATTGGCTCACGCTGTTTTCCTTTCTGTGATTGCAGCGCTCCTCCAGGGAGTATGGAATCCAACATTACCGCCTCCATATTCAGCTTTACAAAGAGACTATTACCGACTTAATCCGCCAACATGTCCAGTCCCTGCTTTAATTGTGCAGCAACACACTTTGAGGCAGCTCTGTTATATCACTTTGACTCAACAGGCACAACTGCTGTTGTGAGCAGGGGAATAAGAGCAAGGCAGTGGATCAAAGCCTGCTCGGCAGGGGTTAAGGTCGGATCATGAAGAAGCAGCGTTATGCACACATTTGTCAATGGTTCCCAGCAGGATGGGTTTTAATGAGACAGAGACATGGCTCCTGTGTGGAGAGCTTGGGTGGTTCTCAGTGGCCCTGGATGGGAGCTCTGAGAGTGGGATAACAGGCACAGCCTCTGCTCCAACAGGCTCACCAGTCACCCACGCCAACCAGTGCAAGACCGCTAAAATGATCAATCAATATACTCCAGCGGGGATGTCGGGTGTGTGGGCGGAACGAAAAGCAAGCCAAATACACAGTTATCTCTGACTCGCTCTGCTTTTAGCAGAATGCATTGTCATTGCTGTTTCTCTCTCCTAAGAGATAAGCTTACAGTCATATTCAGGACAAAACGAATGATCTAATTTCTGATAGACGTGTTTAAAGCAATGAAACCTTAATAATCAAGAGTGAATGAAAAAAAAAACAACAACAAAGAAAGCTGATGCTCACCAAGCGTTCAGACATGGGGGTCTTGTCCATGGCTGGGAGATGCTGTTCGAGGGCCAGTACGATGCAGTTGGCGATGATGGTTGTGAGGATCAGGTACTCAAATGGAGTGGACAAGTCAAGGAAAAATTGTGGAACAACAAACAATGCAAGTCAAGACAATGACAAATCCAAAACATTCTGAGGAGGAAGGATTATAATAAAATAAAAAATTGCATGAAATAGCTACAGGCAGAGTAAATTGGACAAGAAAGATGCTGATATATCTGCTTTCAAATATTGGCTTAAAAGGACAGTGCGCATATTTGTATAGACCATTTTGCAAGATGTAAACAACACTGGTCCAGAAACACTTCCTGTTTCGGTTTGTAACCATTTTCTTTATTTCACATGTAAAGAAAACATCTTAAAGATGTTTGTTTAACTTTTTGATTCAGTTGTATATGTTCTGTTGGTTGTACATATACAACTATATCTTTATCCCAGCTTTTATGTAGTGTTAAAAAACTGAAACAGGAAGTGCTTCTGGACCAGTGTTGCTTACATCTTGCAAAATGGTCTATTTAATTTATTCACTCTCATGTCATTCCAAACCTGCACTAATTTTCTTCTGTGGACCACAAAGACAACTTTTTTTTCTCCATGCAATGAAAGTGAATGATTGGACCCCATTGACTTTCCATCATCTTTTGTGATCCAGAGAACAAAGTAAGTCATATAAAGTTGTATATATAAGTCAAGACAATAACAAATTCAAAACATTTAAAAAAAAAAAAAAAAATGCATGAGCATGATGTAAACTGGACAAGAAAATGTACTGATGTGTATGCTTTAAATGTGTATGACTTATGGACAAACACAAAGCACAAGAGACAAAAAAAATAATAAATCACTTTTTTTCCATATAATGACCAGGTACGTTGTTTGGGCCTCAATGACTTGTTCCACAAAATAAAGTAAGTCATATAAAGTTGGATATACAAGAATCATCCGTATTCATACAGTACACTTGTCGTGAAGGGCAATATGTAGTATTCAGCAAACCTTAACCACTTGCTTGTTGCTTGTATCGTCACAAAAAGTAAACTATATTATCGCCCTGCTCTAATCTGCAAAATGTGACTTAAAGGCATAAAGATATTAAAATATTATTATAACATTAACATCATAAAATGCCATAGAAACAATCACTGCCTCCTAATTGTTTTAATACAAATCTGGAATGACACAAGGGTAAGAGAAATTTTGGGGTGAACTATCCCTATAAGAGCATTCCTTAAGGGTAACTAGTGAATTTCCCCCACATACCACACCAAAGACAAATGGATTGTGTCCACATTAATCACACTTAATCACAAAAATCATTAGGAGATGAGGACAGAGGACACATACATTTAAGCTCAATTAAGCAATTAACAGCCAACATCCCTCTGTCCTTGGCAGTTTTACTGCATCTAGGAGTAATGCTGAATATATTTACACCACCTCACTCCATGCTGGAAGTGACATACAGAGGTCTGGACATAAAAATGAGGTATGCTTTCAACACTGAAACATGACAGTGCAGCGATTATGATTACCCACTAGGTTGGCATGATGGTTTCTCTCTCGGCGCAGCCATTTGTGCAACCTTACTGCGTCTATAAAACGTTTGTGTAAGCCCACCAATCTTGTCATTATTAAAATCTTTTCATCTTTTTATAGGAAATACTAAAAGACTGCTAACATCTTTATGGATGGTCAGCCATTATATTCCATTCTTAGGACAGGATCCATTTTTCCAACTCATTTTCCATGCCTGTTCCCTGTGGCTATAGTCTTTATGGGATTGCTATTCATGTAGGCAAGGAATGGAAAGGAAATGTCCAATGGCCACTTCAATCACGTTTTTGTCACCCCCCTGAGGGATCTCTACATAGGCTACTATGGAAACCTAATGCTATATGTGCCTGGATTCCTGAATTTGTATGCATCTTAAATGGACCGCACAACAAATTGGAAGCATTAAAAATAAAGATGGAATATCTAAGTGTAAGATGCTAATAATTCTAGTAAATGTTGGTGACTAGAAAATAAGTGTCTAGGTTTCAGGACCCTGGAGAGCGCCATAGCTCTTCAGAAACACTGCGCTATCCAATTAAAAATAACTTGGGTTCATTTTTTCTCTATTTCAAAAGAATTTTAAAATGTAAAATGACTAACCTTTCACTGAATTAACCGTCGTAAAACGGATTTACACACACCAATTTATTGTGTATTAACGAGCTACGTCGCCTGTTAACAGATTACAGTTATGCTAATTAAGTATATTAGCCTACTTGGCGAAACTACTACTACAAGGCCTACTATTATCATTACCAAAATCATTATTACTACTACTACTAGTGAATACAACTATTTATTGAACATTATTACCGTTGCCGCTGGGAAATTTAGGCTACTAAATTACAATAGGCGCGCTACACAGTTAGCTGCTAGCCTAGAAGAAGCTTTACTTTGTTTATAGCTAAATAAAATGTATTAAACCATAGCCCTGAGACGGGATTTTTTTCACTTGGTAAACTTAATCCGGTGTTATTTTGTTTCATGTTTCACCCCTGTTCATACTTTATCCCGACATTTCTTGGAAGAATACTACACAGGCGCGACCCGTTTAAATAAATGTTTGCCAGTCTGTGTAAACGACGCACAGCTGCTTCGAAACACATAGCAAAACAATAGCCTCTTCATTGTTCGACATTCTAACCGATTCCCCAAGATACTGAAACTAAACAGCGAGCAAAAAGTTTCAATGAGCAGTTTACAATAAGGATATGAATATTCAATAGGGAAGCGCTGAGCCGATTTATGATTGGTTGTCTGTGGTTAATCAATCCGACGTGACGTTCTAACGCCGGTTGTTTCATCACATATGCATTTGACGACGGCAAACCCCTTTTGAAACGGTCCTTGCTGCTGGGTTAAACTAGTCTAGCACATAAACCAGGGTTAAAAAAAAAAAAAAACTAAACCATAAGTGCAGTATGACAGTAGCCTATGAAGTCCATTTCGAGCGCTGCCTAACAATAAACGAGCGACTGCTTTACTTGCCTACGCTTGAATTAGAAAATAAAAGAGGCTGATGATCAGCCAACACCCTGACACGACCACCAGCTGCCAAATGCCTTAAAGTGCGTGAACACGTGAAGACAAAAGGGTGCCAATCACCATGCACGCAACAGTTCATTTGACATTGCCAGATCTTAAAGGGTGTATTATATGCTTCAACATAATGATAATGAACGGAAATTTAGAAGTGGAAGAGTAAAAAAAGCTGTATCCATTTGGCATAAATGTTGAACAACAAGGATATGGCCATTCGGTTATTCTTTTGGCGTATTTCCTGATGACATTGTCCTCACTGAAGATGAACAAAGAGCGGTTGACAGTGAAACAGTTCTGTTTGGTTTGTTTAGGGTTATATAAAGCCATTGTCCTGGCTCTCTGAGCCATCGACTGTTTGTACATTCTTTGACCGCCCGAGGGACCTCCCGCCCGGGCTCCCCCTCTCCCGGCGCCCGCTGGACCTCCATAGCGGGTGGGCAGATCGTCTCCAAAGCGAGCCATCCTAGACATGCAGATATCCAACAGGTAAAATCCAAACTGGCATTAAATATAAGATAAAGAGTGCACATTACAGTACAGACTTCTGTTACCACTTAGAGTCCCCATCTGTCTATGTGAAGTGAAATAAAAAAAATATATAAAAGTCCCTTTTTACAAGCTCCCCGTGCGCCCTCGGCTCACTCCATTGCTCAGACAATTGCAACAAAAAAAAAGGAAACTTGTCATTGAAATGTCATTCCAGTTGAGAGCATTTCAAACAATAGAAAATGTGTAACCATCCAATTCGTACCACATCCGTCCAACACAACCTGATCCAGCTGACAGGTCACGAAACCAAAATGTGCACCATCACTTACGCGTCATGCTAGACGGAAAAAAAAAACTGTTGTTGGAATTAAAAGCGCGAAGAAAGGTATTCCATATCCACGCGCACACGTCTACGGCTGTTTTTTCTCTTTACCGATGATTTGCTTTCCGCTTCCACTCAACAATTCCACTTGGAAACGCGTACGTTACGAATGATGCCAAGTGAGTGGAGTGGAAGCTGGTGCGCGAGACTCTCACACGTGACGCAAACGGCCCTATAGGCAGGACCACCTGCTGGAGAGCGCGTGAGGGGGAGGGTGTTTTAATTGATGATCAATGAATGATATTTATAACTATGTCTTATTGTTTGCTTAGACCGATTATATGATTAAAAGCGCCGAGTAAAAGTACCATTTTTGATAAATGACTAAAATTAGCCATTTATCAAAAATGAGGTACTTTTACAAATAAGGTACAATATATATATATATATATATATATATATATATATATATAGAGAGAGAGAGAGAGAGAGAGAGAGAGAGAGAGAGAGAGAGAGAGAGAGAGAGAGAGAGAGAGAGAGAATGAGAATACCGCACACTGATAGCCAAAGTCAATGGTACAATTACACAAAAGCTAATTGTAGCTTGCCTAATTGTTGTCTGTCAGTACATTATCAAGGTGTATCGTGTATAGTGTGCCTTTATTTGGTTATTTTTATAATGAGTTTGGCCACATAATAGGACAAATTTGATGACTGAACAAATTTAGGTAGGCTATCTAAAAGGGGAAACACCATGTGGGCCTTTTGCTGTTAAATAAAGCTATATTTACTACTACAGAAAGCATTTTTCATTATATTTAGTATGGTTCAAAAAATGTCCACAGTAACAATTGGAATTTAAAATGTACATAGAAATAAATATAAAGTTTAAGGATTTTGAAGGTTGTGACAAAAAACAAAAAAGAAATATTCAAATTCTACACTGTCACAAATCAAATTAGTACATTTGTGTCAATCACTTAGTAAACTAAACATATGGAAACATGCTCTTTGGATAAGATTTAAATCATGTTACATCAGGTCATTATATATAAATTCGTTATATATTGCATTTGTATTGTTTGTACTGTATATTAATGCAAAATAGAAGAGTGATTTCATAAGTGGACTTCACCATGTTTATTTGTTGTTTGTATATTTAACCAATATTTTCTATCGCTCACATAAACCTTACAACACTAAATCTAAATTAAAACATCATTGTTAGAACTACAAATCATTAAAATATTAGATTAGTTGGTCCCCATTTTTGGTCTCACAAAACATGATGACACACATTCACTCCACCTCTCTAAAGAAGGAAAGATTCTTAGAAATAACCAGCATGTCCAGATGTGAATCTCCTGGCATTACGGTCAGTAAGTGTGAAAGATTTTCTGTGTGCATGCAGCCAGTCAAGACCCAGAGGCACAAAATCTCACAAGAGACTCCGGGCTGTTGAGCTAATCTCTGGATGGCAAACCAGAGCTCCATATAACACCCTATAGGGCGGCATAACAGTGGAAAGGATTCAAGACACACACACACACACACACACACACACACACACATTGGTTTTTCATGTTTCATGGGAACATTCCACAGACATAATGATTTGTATATTCTATCCCCTAAACCTATCGATCACAGAAAAAAAAAACCCCAAAAAAACTGAAAAAACATTTAAAAAAAAATCTTCACATTTTCAAAAAAACCCACTTATGATTTATGAGCTGTTTTCCTCATGAACACTTGTCCCAAGGACTTCAGATTTTACCTGACATTTTGTCCTCATAACATAGTGCAATGAAATTCATACATTTTAGGTATGTGCAAGTGCTTTTGAGGCTATTACAGTATACAGTATATCTTTCTGTTGAACTTTTAGGACCCCTAGTGGCTAGTATAATGAATTACAACTGATCGATTGCCACTTTCTGTGACTTCTGGGAAATTCAGCTTAAGTCCTCTCAGTATTGGCCTTTTTATTAGTATTGCACTTTAAACTTCCAGCAGACCATGATAAAGAAGCTAATAACCTTAAGTGTGGGTTACATTATACATTATAAATGACTTTCATTCCCTGTGCTGCTCACCTCTCCTCCTGTGGTGTTCCCTGCTCTTGACATATTTCATGGGCACTGATGATATCCGTGTTCCTCAGCTTACGGGGCCTCTCCAGCTCGACAATAGTGTCATATTTGCTAGGTTTGGCAGTGTTCTGGTCATCTCTTGCAGTTTGGCTCTCTTCATACAGACTATCTTTGCTGGATTTTTCTGTGAAAGGTGCTCTTCGGTTCGTCTGCTTGTCTGGTGGCTCAGAAGTCTGAGCCCAGGAACTGAACTCTGCCCCCAGAGTTAACATCCGCCATGTTCCAAGTGTGGCCAAACGGGCAGCTTTATTTTTGACAAACAGACTGAATGATTAATTTTGCTTAAAGAGCGAGACAAGTGCATGGTTGAAAATAAATTGCCAATTATTAAAGTCCCCCTATAGTCGATACTGTATGTATGTTCATGTTTTAAAACAGCTTGAACGCAACTCTACAGCCTTGTATGGCAAGCCGTTTTAGCTTAAATTGTATCCAACCTTACTCGTCATAATTGCATTTTTACTATGGCAAGCCGTTTTAGCTTAAATTGTACCCAGCCTTACTCGTCGTAATTGCATTTTTACTAGTAACAATTCAATTAGAGAGCTCTACAATTCAATTCTTACTAGGAAGAATTACAATTAGAGAGCTCTCAAATTTAATTATTACTAGTAAAAATTACTATCAGAGCGCTCTCTAATTCAATTATTACTTGCAAGAATTACAATTACAGAGCTCTCTAATTCCATTCTTACTAGTAACAATAGCAATTAGAGAGTCCTACAAATTAATTTTTACTAGTCATATGTCTCCATTGACTTCCATTCATTTTTAATTACAGAGCTCTCAAATTGAATTGTTACTAGTAAGAATTACAATTCGAGAGCTCTCTAATCCAATTATGACTAGTGACAATTGCAATTAGAGAGCTCTCAAATTAAATTCTTACTAGTAACAATTCAATTAGAGAGCTCTTGAATTGAATTAAAGAGCTCTGCAATTGCATTCTTACTAGTAGCAATTCATTTAGAGAGCTCTCTAATGCAATTGTTACTAGTAAGAATTAATATTATTGAGCTCTCTAATTTAATTCTTACTAGTAACAACTCAATTGCAGAGCTCTTTAATTATAATTAGAGAGCTCTCTAATTCAGTTTTTACAAGTAAGAATGCAATTACAGAGCTCTTTAATTCAATTATACATATCTTTAATGCCTTTTTTTTACTAGTAAAAATTAAATTAGAGAGCTCTGCAACTGCATTCTTGTAAAAACTGAATTAGAGAGCTCTCTAATTATAATTGTTACTAGTAAGAATTGGATTAGTGAGCTCTTTAATTGTAATTCTTACTAGTAATAATTGAATTAGAGAGCTCTCTAATTTTTTTTCTTAGTAACAATTCAGTTATAGAGCTCTCTAATTAAAAATGAATGGAAGTCAATGGAGACATATGACTAGTAAAAATTCATTTGTTGAGCTCTAATAGTAATTGTTACTAGTAAGAATTGAATTAGAGAGCTCTGCAATTGTATTTGTTACTAGTAATAATTGAAATTAGAACGCTCTGAAACTTAATTTTTCACTAGTATGAATTGAGAGCTCTCTAATTGTAACTGCTACTAGTAAGAATGTAATTGTAGAGCACATAAACACTTAATGCAACACATTAACACACAAGTGTAACACAAAATACACTTTTAGGCCACATAAAGTAATAATTACCTGTATAACAAAGTTTTATGTTTAGGGCCAATAAGATTTTTTAACACTTCATTTTTACAGTCCTGTTACCCATGTACATACTATGTACTTATTATAGTAATTACAATTACTGGCTAGGTACTAACCCTGAACCTACCAATTAGCCAGTACTTTCAAGGTACAGTAAGTACATGTAAGTACTGTAAAAGCAAGTGTTACCGATTTTTTTTTCCATTGTGACATTTTTAATAATTTTAATGCCAATTACACAAACGTCCCCTATAATTCTTATCCCTGCGAAGCAAAAAATATTCTCATTACTGTAATGCAAATAAATATTATATATATATATATATATATATATATATATATATATATATATTATATTTAAATTGCAGTTCGGACTAAGTATTTATATATTACGTGACCTGGTCATGTTTTTGTGAGAATCACCGACAAAAATATTCAGTCTCAGCAGAAGCACATCATTTAATGTCACTAAACCCAAATGCCACTAAAGAGTTATTTACAGCATCATCGATCATTAAAATAAGTCAAGAGTTCACTGTAATAAATATGAGTAACAATCCACAACCCAGTTAATGACACCACAACCTTGCAAAACAACCCAGTGAACATCTTACCATAGATAACAGTGGATTTTCTCTCCTCCCAATCAGAGTCACGTCGAGCTGACCTCTTCATATTCATGCATCCACAAGCCTATCCACAAAGCGTGATCCTCATAATTGTACTGACTGAAAAAATGAAACATAGTCAGGACTTAAAGTTTGCAGCTGTGGAATGCGGAAAGGCGGTTTCCTGCCTCGTTAGTTAAAAGCCTTTATCGGCAAGTCAGAGGGCCTCAATCACCAGCTTACATTTCATTGGATCAATTACAACCAGAATCTTAAGTAATCAGGAAGAGAATAATTAAGTTTATAAAGCTGAACTTAATAAACAATCAAAAGGCTTCCTGTTGTGCATAGCAAACTTCTTTGGTATCATTTGTGGGCTTTAAAATGTAACTCCAACGGTAGAAACATGAATTATCTGCTTTCGCGAAAATTGCAATGGGATGAATAGAAGGGATTGATAGTTTCAGATTCACATGCTTTGTTATTTTTGCATAAGAGAGACAGAGATATATCATTAGTAGTAAATTTATTGAAAAAGAAAAACACAACCAGTAAGATTGTGCATCATGTTTCACTGTCCAGAAATATGTTACAATTCTCTTTTTATCCCCCCTCATTTTGCAGTGTTTTGTATCTATATGTCTTGATTTGCACAACGGACATGACTACACTATCAACATTTAAAAGACTGTAATAGTTTTACCA